ATTTGGTGCAGTACACATGAGGACATGTCCCTTTCTGACTCTCTTTATGAAAGGCCTCATATTTGTACTTTTGCACGCCTGATTGGATTTGCTGAGAGCAAATTGTGTGCACCAATCCCTTGATAGGAGGAGAGTGATTGGTGCAAACAATGCTGTGAATGTGCTGATCATTCACTTTTCCCTCAATTGCCTCCATTATTGTCTTTTCCTCTTTCTTGGAGAAGAGGAACAGAGTCTGAACTCTTATTGAAGCAGGGGTGTAAACAGGTAATGTCACAATAACGATATATTTGCACATCATCAGTACTCACAATAACTATATCTGAAATTTAAAATTGAGACGCTGTTTTGTGTAGGTGTTACATTGGGGCAAAATACTCAGTCCCGGGTCTTTCTCATGAATCTATATTCCTGTATGAAAAGATAATGCTCTGAAAGAACTCGTGAAGACTAGTAAACCATCTTTTTGGATCGTGGTTTAATGACCTTACAAACACATGCATAGGAGAGGTTGGATCGTGCCTTTTCCATGTGTACAAGGTTCTTTTGAGAGCTCTGTAACGGCCTGTGAATTTTTTTCAGGGTCCTGATTTGCAAATTGCTTTAGGACACAATGATGCAACAGATCATTGAACTGTTACTTGGTAAATATTCAATACTGCTTTTAGTAAAATGCACTAGTGTTGCAGCCTCCATAGTGTGAAAGTTAAATAACAATGGGTTCTGTTTCACCTTTTAGTTGGGATACCTTTTTTATTTTTTGGTTTAAGAAAGATGTTAGTCTTAGTAAAGGCAAAGAACATGGAGGCAACATATTAATATCGCTAGTGATAAGAGCCGCGGTGGCGCAGTGGTTAGAGTTCAGTACTGCAGGCTATTTCCGCTGCCTGCCGGCTCCCTGCAATTTGGCAGTTCGAATCTCACCAGGCTCAAGATTGACTCAGCCTCCCATCCTTCCGAGGTTGGTAAAATGAGGACCCAGATTGTTGGGGGCCAGAGGCTGACTCTGTAAACTGCTTAGAGAGGGCTGTGTAAAAGCACTGTGAATCGGTATATTAGTCTTAAGTGCTATCGCTAGTGGTACTTTTTGTTAGAAAGCTCTCCATCCTCATTCACCAAGGGAAGATAAGCTTTCCAGGCTCTGCTGCTTCATTACTTTCTGGGTCTTGTAACATATAAGCAACCAATTAAGGAATCGGTATACTGTGAGTTACTGTTATCCCTTTTTAAAAATCAGAAATAACTTCTTTTTGAATGCACTATTTTTTTATTTATTTTTTTCCCACTAACCCTTTGTTGCTAATACCTCTCCAACTCATAGCTGGCTTTATAAAGTCACCTCTCTCTCAAAAGAAACTGACAGAGGAAAGTGTGGAACTGCACTGTGAGGCTATTGGCAACCCCATCCCCGAAATCCAGTGGTGGTTTGAAGGAGCTGACCCCAATGGTACCGCCATACAGCTGTGGGATGGCGCCTGGCAGAACCGGGTCCAAATCAGCGCAACCTACCAGCGGCACTCCTCAAGCACTATCGCCATCACTAATCTCACGATCAAAGACTCTGGCACGTACGAATGCTGGGCCAGCAACGACCCTGATCGTAACCACTTGTCGAAGAGCCCCAAAGTCAAATGGATCCGTTCCCAGGCGAATGTCATTGTCACTAAGCGTGAGTGGCAGACTCCTACGTGTCGGCGTTCCCACGGACACCGAAATGTCTCCAACATTACCATCCCCATGCCCCCCCCCGCCTCTCCTTCCACCCGTGTCCTGTGGCTTTCCAAGACCCTCTTATGCACCTCGGCTTCCCGACCCTCGTGAACCCCGCAGGGATCCACCTGCAGCCTTGGGGTTGTGACCTCTCCGTTGAAATGATCCTGCCCTTTGGGGGATCCGTTGGAATGCTGCCTCTCTTCCCCCAACGTTCCCATTAGAAACAGACCAGGTTGCCTCTGCGCTGCTTCCACCAGTCATTTCCAAACCTAGTTCCACCCCACTTCCCACCCCGCGCTCTGATGTTTCTTCTTCCATCTGTGCGGTTGTGCTTTTATTTTATTTTTTTTGCTTCCCCACTTTACAAGGAGCACAATTTTGCAGGAGTGAGTCCAAACTTGTATTTGTGCTTGTTGTAACTGGCAACCGTTTTCTGACAAGGCCAAATTTTCTCTCTGCCACCTAGGTCATAGGCTTAGTTCTTCTTGGCTGTAGGATGACCAGTCGGCTATCCTTCCATTTGCAGAGCTGCAAAAGTCAAATTTCTAACAAAGAGGGGGGGGGGAATAAAATGATACGGCCGTTGGCTGAAATGCTGAACTTGCATTGACGGGCAAGAGCGTTTCCAATCTTGGTTTTCAAATTCTTCTCCAGCCCCTTGAAAGCTTGATCAAGGATTCCTTAATGGCGTCAGGAATGGCTTTCTTGTTCCCGAGGCTGAGATACACATATCCTTGGTTCATATGAGGTGATGGTGCAGCCCAGCCAATGCAACATATGAACTAGATCCAGGCTTCAATACCTCTGCAAGTAGACCAGCTCCCCTTGTAGATGTTCAAGGAGTGTCTGTGTGAGAAACTTTTCCTTAACTGAAGGAAGTTTGCAAATGGCTTGTTCCAACAATGGCTCATTTAAAACAAAATGGTAAATGGAAAAACTTATTTTTAGGAGGCAAGTGTCAGGTGTGTCTTTTACCTTTATACCCTGTCTTGTGGGAAATGGCCGACTTGGATGAGTTGGCTTGACTATGGGCAGGGAAAATATTCGTAGCAGTATATTTCTCTTGAAAACGGTGATTAAATATGACGGTTAGCTTGAATAAACTTCTTTCAGTGCTTAAAATCTTTGTTTAGATATTGAATTTACCTTTAGGAGGGGGAAAGGGGGAGTTGCACACCCACTAAATTTCATACTGTTTGCTTACAGTTCAGGGAATGGTCATTATAATTTATTGAATTCCAAAAGAAACAAAGCATGAAAATAGCCACATACTCCTTTTGGGTACTCTGTGCATACGAACTAGGGTGCAGTTGTTTCTCTCTAAAAGAAATGCCAAGAAAATAGCTCTGCTATTTGTGACTTTGTCTTATTTATACCTCATCAGGTGAGAAATCCTCCTTCGTGGCAGGCGAAGGCTAATACAGGTAGTCTTGGACTTACAGCAGTTCATTTAGTGGCCATTCAAAGTTGCAATGGCACTGTAAAAAAAGTGACTTATAAGGCCGTTGCCGCATCCCCATGACCACGTGATCAAAATTAAGGCGCTTGGTTCACCTTTATGACGGTTGCAGTGTCCCAGGGTCACTTGATCCCCTTTTGATACGTTCTGACAAGCAAACTGGGTTACTTAACTGCAGTGATTGACATAAGTGTCATTTAGGTTGACTCTGCAAGAAAGGTTGCAAAATAGGGGAAAGCTCACTTAACAAGGGTCTCACTTAGCAACAGAAATTTTGGGCTCCATTGTGCTCGTAGGTTGCGTCCTACCTGTACACTGTCTCCTGCCACGATTAAACCTTATATAGCCCTCACGTAAGCACAGGCCTTTCCTAGGTAGGCAAAGAGGCCTGATGGGGAATGTGCAGCTTCCGCAGTCTCTCTGGTTGAGCTGGGCTTAGATTGGGGTCGATGATCACCCAGAGGCTGTGGATTGCTGCCTGTATTTCTCTTCTTGCACCGGCTTAAGACCCTTGATGCAATTTCTGCTCCTGGCCTAAGATTGAACTACCGGTACCCCTCGGCTTACAACGATTCATTTAGTGACCATGTGAAGTTACGATGACAGTGAAAAAAAAGTGACGTGACATTTGTCACACGACCATTGCTGCGTCCCCCATGGTCACGTGATCAAAATTTGGGTGCTTGGCAACTGGCAAGTATTTATGACTCTCAGTGTTCTGGGGCCATGTGATCATCTTTTGCAACCTTCCGGCGAGCGGAGTCAATGATTCATTTAACAACCGTGTTACTAATTCAATAACTGCAGTGATCAATTTAATAACTGGCAAAAAAAGGTTATCAAATTGGGCAAAACTCACTTAACTGTCTTGCTTAGCAATGGAAATTTGAGGTTCTACTGTGGTCGTAAGTCGAGGTCTACCTGTATACAGCCATTTTTCATAAAATATATTCCTTTAGTTTACTGCAAAGAGACAGAATGAAACTAGATGTTTCATTGTGGTGACTGTTCAGAAAGGAGAAGAATTTGTACGTGTGTTTAAGCAGAAGAAACAATAAAGCAAAGACATTTACTCCAAAATCACAAATAAAGCACCCAGAATGTTTTGAACCATTCAATGGGTCTGTATGCATAGATACACTATTTTATTTATCCCAGTAGTTGTATTTGTTATTAGTTAACCTTAGAATAATGATGTGCTTAGAAGGTGATGTGCTGCTTAGAAATGATCGTTACTTCTGCTTCCTAATCTCTTTCCCTTCCAATCCCTCAGATGGATGTTAATTTCCTGGTGTTTCATGATTTATACAACTGACCACATTGTTTCAAACCTCAGAGCCTTGATTTTAATGATAGGAGTTAAATGCAATTACTGTGCTGCAACCAAGCTGCTTTTTCCTAGGCATGCAGGTGACCGAACCCTATGTCAAAACCCAGGGCTCTTTCCTTCTTTTAAGAGGTGCTTAAAACATGCTGACACACCCATGATATCCTAACCTAACTTTCGTTTTCTTCTTAACAACCAGGGGCCAAAATCTCAACCTCTCCTGAAGTAACTTCTGGATCAAATGTGATTATTTCATGTAACATAAGTGAAACACCAACACCTATCAAAGGCAATTACTGGATGAAGGGAGAGACAAAGCTTGAGTCCAATGAGACCGCTCTGGATTTTACCTCCTACATGTAGGTGACTTTAAAGTGAAGCGTACATGAGTTAATTGTCAGAATCAGTTTGGTGTAATGGTTCGGGTGTAGTCCTGCCTTAGGCGTGGTGACTTTGGGCCAATCACCAGGAGAACTGGGAGTTCTAGTCCGCCTTAGGCATGAAAAACTTGGCAGAGTGACTTTGGGCCAGTCACATTTTCTCATCCCACCTCACAGGGTTGTTCTGGAGAAAGGAGGTGGAAGAAATAGTTGCATGTTGATTGCATTGTGTTGTATATGAAAGAAATGGGATAAAAAACCTTTTTTAAAAATTATCAACTTCTCCAAATGGAATATTTCCTCCAAATGCAAAATGGGGAAACTTCACAGCTTGTTTGGCCCACTTAACAATGTTCAGTGGAATCATTTTTCACAGTAAGACGTACCCAAGGTCAACATTTTTTTTTATTTCAAATTTTAACGGAGATTATTTCCTAGGAATTATGCAGGAGATTATACTGCATACTTATAAAAGAAGTTAACAACCATTTCTTCCTCCTCCTCACCAGAATTTTGCTAGTAAGGTGGGGGAAGGGAGTAATGAATTGTATGCATTAGCTCAGGGGTCCCCAAACTCGCCATCTTTAAGACTTGTGGACTTCAACTGCTAGAATTCTCCAGCCAGCATAGCTTGAAAATTCTGGCAGTTGACGTCCACAAGTCTTAAAGTTGCCAAGTTTGGAGACCTCTGCATTAGCTTAACAACGAGCCTGAAATGCTTTGCCTGCAGAAAGCATAATTCTTAACTGACTGTCACTGCACAGAAATCTCTGGTGCTTGAATGTTGGGCAGTAGTACTAGCTTCATTCTAAATGAGAAAGGAGGTGGGAATAGCTGGGTGTTCTTCACCTGAGAACAACATGGCACTCAGTGGCAGGTGTAACACAAAAATGGGGAAATGCAGTGTGCAAAATAATTGCTTTTCTTTTTTTTCATCTGGTTTTAATCCCACTGCTAACCACTGCAAGAGCTCACAGTATTTAAAGGTACACAGGTAGTTTTCGACTTGTCACAGTTCGTTTAGTGACCATTTGAAGTTACAATGGCATTGAAACAAGTGACTTAAGAGTCCTTTTTTTTTTTTTTTTTACACTTACAACCGGTTGCAGCACCCCCAGGGTCTCGTGACCAAAATTCGGATGCTAGGGCAACTGGTTCATATTTACGACAGTTGCAGTGTCCTGGGGTCATGTGATTCCCTTTTGTGGCCTTCTGACCTGCAAAGTCAATAGGAAAGCCAGATTCACTTAACGACCGTGTTACTAACTGAACAACTGTAGTGATGCACTCAACAACCAAAGAAAAGTCATAAAGTGGGTCAAAATACACTTCACTGTTTTACTTAGTAACATAAATTTTGGGCTCTGTTGTCATAAGTCAAGGACTACCTGTACTGTACATCTCCTGAAAAGGGGGAAGTACACTTCCTCCAGCAAATTAACAACCAGAAGAGTAGCTATATAATACATATAGTCTTCAACTTACAGCCATAAATGAGACCAGAATTTCTGTTGTTAAGCAATGCAGCTGTTCAATGAGCCAGCCCCCAGTTTTAAGACCTTTTTTGCTATGGTTAAAGTTGTTGAGCAAATCATGCGTTCTTTAAGCGAAGGGAAGGTTGCAAATGGCGTGCATGTCTCCCCCCCCCCCCCCCCCCCCCCCAGGATGCTGCAAACGTAAATACAGGCGGTCCACAATTGAGCCCAAAATTTATGCTGCTAAGTGAGAAATCTGCTAAGTTGAGTTTTGCCTCATTTTACAACTTTTCTTGCCACGTTTGTCAAGTGAATTCCTGCAGTTGTTAGTAACAGATTCCCTTAACAACCAGGTTACTTACTTATCAACTATCCTAGAAATGTTGTTTTGCATGTCTCAATTTATTACATAGCACTGTTGTTAAGTGAATCTGGCTTCCCCATTGATGTTGCTTGTCAGAAGATCGCAAAAGGGGATCACGTGACCCTGGGACACTGCGGCCGTCATAAATATGGACCACTTGCCAAGCATCCGGATGTAAATCATGTTACCCTGGGGATGCTGCAACGGTTGTAAGCCTGAAAAACGGTCATAAGTAATTTTTTTCAGCACCATTGTGACTTCAAATGGTTGTAAGTCAAGGACTACCTATACAAGCCAGGTGCCAAGCAACCAAATTTTGATGATGTGGCTTGCATTGGTTGTAAGTGCAAGGATTTGGTTGCACATTTCTCAGGACTGTTGTAGCTTTGAGCAAATGAATGACTGTAAGTTCAGGGCTACCTATGTTAATTTCTGATCGGACTTCACTAAAACAAAGATAAATCCTTCAGAAAAAGCGTTATTATTCCACCAGAGAGGCAATCAGTAGAAACTTTGCCAATCTGACTACCTGGTGCCAGAGCCTTGGGCATTAATTGATTAATTAATTAATTAATGGAGTCGCCATGGGCAAATAGGCAATATAAATCAAATAAATAAAAATAAATAAAATTAAAACAAGATATGCCATCCTGCAAGGAGCGATTGGTTGGTTATTTGAACTCTTCAGCTACATCTATAGATGGAAGATTCTTGGACAGTCAGGATTATTCTATCCACTCTATTGTTTTATTGTGATGGCTTCCTGGAACTTTTCCTCTCAAGATTCCAGCCCTGTCCCAGAAAGTTTTAATTAGGTGTGCTCAGCGGAGTTTTAGGTGTGTGTCCTACCCTTTGATAGGAAATCTAATCCAGCCTTTCCTAGTGGTTTTTTTTTTCCCCTCCTGGATGATGCTGGAATGTAGTTCCTTTTACTCCGTGACCATTGCCTTTTCTGAGTGACATTATAATTGGCAATACCCATTCCCAGTTCTCCTCCTGCGATGCTTTTGTGTGTTCTACTTGTCACCTGCTGGTATGTGTTTGTGTGTGTGTTTTTGAATCCTAGGATCCCCAAAGTGGATTACGAAACCTCGGGAGAGTACCACTGCGTCTTTGACACCATGCCCCTCTCAAAAGCAACGGTGTACGTGAAAGGTAACTGTTGTGGGGGCTTCAGTCCTCTGCTTTTTTTCCCTCTTTCCATGGGTGAAGCTTGTACACAGAGGAGAAGGACTTGGTGTTGTCCAATGCATGAGGAACGAGCCACTGCTCATGAGTTCCTCTAGCTGCCACTCTAGTCTGAGAAAAAAAGGAGCTATGAAGGCACAGTGGTTAGAATGCAGTATTGCAGGCTAATTCGCTGCTCACTGCCAGCAGTTTGATCCTGATCAGCTCAAGGTTGATTCAGCCTTCCATCCTTCCGAGATTGGTAAAATGAGGTTCCAGATTGTTGGGGGCTAGAGGCTGACTCTGTAAACCACTTAGAGAGGGTTGTAAAGCACTGTGAAGCGGTATATAATTGCTAAGTGGGAGGGAGGGAGGGAGGGAGGGAGGGAGGGAGGGAGGGAAGGAAGGAAGGAAGGAAGGAAGGAAGGAAGGAAGGAAGGAAGGAAGGAAGGAAGGAAGGAAGGAAGGAAGGAAGGAAGGAAGGAAGGAAGGAAGGAAGGAAGGAAGGACGGTGGTGGCACAGTGATGAGAATGCAGTATTGCAGGCTGACTCTGCCCACTGCCAGGAATTTGATCCTGCCCAACCCAAGGTTGACTCAGCCTTCCATCATTCCAAGGTTGGTAACATGAAGACCCAGATTGTTGGGGGCCATATGCTGACTTCATAGACCACTTCGAGAGGGCTGTAAAGCCCTATGAAGTAGTATATAAGTCTTAAGTACTAGTGCCACCCATTTTTCATCACCTAGAGGGGACCATAACAATACCCAAATATTTGTCTCCAGGAAATCCGAGTGGAAGTCTGTTTCAGATGATGTAGACCAGCCTGGTATCCTCTAGGTCAGGGTTTCCCAATCTTGGTAACTTTAAGATGCATGGACTTCAACTCCCCGAATTCCCCAGCCAGCCCTGAGGACTGAAACTTGAAGTCCACGCATCTTAAGGTTGTCATAGTTGGAAACCCTGCTCTAGTTAAATCGGATTGCAATTTCCATACTGGAATTATGGGATTCATAACCGAATACCTCCCAAGGATGATAAATTGAGGGAGGTTATGATATGATAACGAGCTAGTTAGAATGCAGCATTGCAGGTTAACTCTGCCGACTGCCAGCAGTTCGATCTTGACCGGCTCAAAGTTGACCCAGCCTTCCATCTTTCCCGAGGTCGGTAAAATGAGGACCCAGATTGTTGGGGGCAATAGGCTGACTCTAAACCGCTTAAAGAGGGCTAGAAAACACCATGAAGCGGTATATAAGTCTTATAAGTGCTATTGCAGTTGCTAGATGAAATTCCTGTGTTTTCCCAGCCTTTTGCACCTCTGTCCCCAAATAACTAATTCCCAGACCTTGCAAAGAAATCTGCTGTTCACGATGGACGAGAGTTTATAGGCCAGGAGGGTTTCTTGATCAACCTCTCCTCCGACCCCTCTTTGAACTGATGGTGACCTACTGGCTTTTCTGATATCCTGTTGCAGTTGCTCCCCACGTGGTGCCCTACAAGAAGACGGAGCACGGAAACGAAGGAGACGCCATAACGCTGACTTGCAAATGCAATTCTTACCCTCCTGCTACCCAGTGGACTTGGTACAAGATGGTAGACCAGGTGCCTCAGGTGAGCGCCTTTCCTGCCACGAACCCAGGATTCTCCTGCTTCCTCCACACTTAAGTGTCCTGGCTGCTTATGGAGAAACCCATGTTAAGAGTCCCACCTGCGGCCTTTCCAGTTAGGGGTCTTTCTTCAGAGACGGTGAATTGAAGAGAGAGGTTAACATACATACCTGTAAAAAAGAAAAGCCCTCGACTTACAACCAGTGGTGGGATTTAACCGGTTCTCTGCCCTAATGACTGCTGGGTAGGCGTTGCTGGGTGGTCATGTGACTGGGTGGGGGTGGCCAACTCGATGTCACTCGCATTGAGGGGCGCCCCTCCCAGCCCCTCCTTGCCTCGTCTTGCATGTCACGGTAAGAGAGGAAGCTTTTTCAAAGTCATCTTCCCCTTGATTCTAGCCAATAAGATGAGATTTTGCTATCAGAAGACCTGATGTACATTTCCAAGTATTGTTTATCACCATTCTCTCGGTTATAAAGAATAACAGAGTTGGAAGGAACCTTGGAGGTTTTCTTGTCCAACCCCTGCTCAAGCATGAGACCAGTGATGGGATTAAAAAATTTTTTTACTACTGGTTCTGTGAGCGTGGCTTGGTGGGCGTGGCAAGGGAAGGATACTGTAAAATCCCCATTCCCTCCCCACCCCACTAACCTGCTTTCCAGCTCCCTTCTCCTGTGCAGGGCAACCAAAGGAGACCCAGCCAATCAGCTGGGACTCAATGGGAGGCAGAGAAGAGATGGGGGCAGGACCAGTCAGGGGTGGGATTTGCCGGTTCTCCAAACTACTCAAAATTTCCACTACCGGCTTTCCAGAACCGGTCAGAACCTGCTGAATACCACCTCTGCATGAGACCCTATACATCCATCCATTTAGTGACATTTTGAAGCTATAGTGGCACTGGAAAAAAGTGACCTGTGATCGGTTTTCACACTCGCCACCTCCCCTTGATCATGTGGTTAAAATTTGGGTGTGTATTTATGACAGTCGCCCTGTCCATGGTCACATAAATCATTTAGAATCTTGCCAGATGCACTGAACTGCCTTGTGATTTATTTTAACAACTGTGGCAAAGAAGGTCATAAAATGGGACAAATTTCACTTAACAACTGCCTTGCCTTGCAAAAGAAATTCTGGAGTCCATGGTGGTCTTAAGTCAAGGACCCTCTGTACAACGTTTGCTGACTCATGCTCTTGACTAGAAACCCAGTGCCAGTTTTTAAATAGCATTATATACTCAGTTTAAGGGCGGGTGAGTACGTCGATATAAAAAGCCAAAATGCTTTCTTTTTATTTAAAAGGGTCTGATTATCTTGACCCAGTAGATTGTTTTTTTCTGATTATACAACTGATAAGGGCTCTTCCCCCCCCCCCCCCCCAAAAAAAAAATCCGTGGAGCACATGAGAGGAAAAAGGTTAAATGTTTTTTAATATTTTACTTGTACCTCACCCAGAGTCCCACCCAGAGATTTAGAAATCCTAAAGGTGCTTTTTTTCAAGAGGGAGATGCATGGGGGGGGGGAGATGGGTGGTCTCTAAATTCAATAAATAAAATAAAACAGGACCCCAGGTTTAATTTTTATCATGCTCCCGCAAGGGCTAGGGGGGGGAACCCTCTAAATTTATATATGGCCCACCTCATCCGAGTGACTGTGTGATTTACAGATAAAAGCCATTCAGCCACGTACAACGAGATGTAGTTAAAAAGTAAAATAAAACAAAAACAGAATTAAACCAAAGGTTAAAAAAAAAAGGGTGGAGGGCTACACACCACCCCCATGATTTACATGCCACAAACCTCAATATAAGCCACATGGTTTGCATGCCATAAGCCACAGACCACTCTCGTAATTGTGGAGATTCTCAGCCATGCAGGTCACGGTGTCCCAAAGGTGCTTTTTTCAAGAGGCAAGTGGACTTTCTGGTTTTTCTTTTGAAGACGTTTCACTTCTCATCCAGAAAGCTGCTTCAGCTCTGACTGGGATAGTGGGGAATGGAGGGATTTATATTCCTTGCAGTCATCTGGTCATTTGCATTATTTTAGAGAGTCGTTGAGGCAACTTGGAGGTTTATCTGTGTTCTCAGCGTCATCTGAATAGAATAAACCTCCAAGTGGCCTCAGTGTCCTTCAGAAATCCTAAAGGTGCTTTTTTCAAGAGGCAACTGGACTTTCTGGTTTTTCTTTGAAGACGTTTCGCTTCTCATCCAAGAAGCTTCTTCAGCTCTGACTGGATGGTGGGGAAGGGAAGGATTTATACTTCTTGCAGACACAGCTGGTCATTTGCATTCTTTTTAGAGAGTCATTGAGGCCACTTGGAGGTTTACCTGAGTGGTGCAAATGGGCGTGGAGCCTTCTTGGAACAGGGGGTGGGTGGGATTACGACATCGTTTATCTCCAAGCTACAATGCAGTCCTTTCAACGGTTCCAAGACCTGTTTGCACCACTCAGGTATTGCTGAAAAATGTGACTGTTTTTCACACTTAACCGTTGCAGCACCCCAGCGGTTATGTGATCAAAATTCAGGCAACTGGTTCATACTTACGATGGCTGCCGTGTCCCAGGATCATGTGATCCCCTTTTGCGACCTCCTGACAAGCAGAGTCAGTGGGAAAGCCAGATTCACTTAATGACTGTGTTACTAACTTTAACAATTGCCGCGATTCGCTTAAACGATGGTGGCCAGAAAGGTCATAAAACGGGGGCAAAGCTCACTTAACAACTGCCTTGCTTAACAGAAACTTTGGGCTCAACTGTGGTCGTTAGCAGAGGACTTGTCTGTAGCTCTTTCTAAGGGTCTGCCTCTGTCGCTAGTGACACCCCTCTTCTCCCCCAGCCTGTTGCCAACGGCACTGAAGAAAGATTCTACATCCAATCCAATGGCACCAAGACAGATCTTCGGGTCATTTCTTTGGACCTGGAGAAGGACCCCGGGATTTACGTCTGCAATGCCACCAATGAAATGGGCGAAGGGAGTGCTGAGGTGACCCTGAAGGTGCGGAGCCGGCTGGCTGCTCTGTGGCCATTCCTGGGGATTGTAGTGGAGGTGCTGGTGCTGGTCACAATAATCTTCATCTACGAGAAGAGGAGAAAGCCCAATGAGGTTCCCGAGGGTAAGGTGCTGGAATGGGCCAGGGGGAGATTAATCATAATACTATTGCAATCATATAATATTATAATGTGGTACTAAGGAGCCACAGGGGTTAGAATGTAGTACCATAGGCGACTTCTGCTGACTGCTGTCTACCAGCAATTTGCCAGTTCGATCCTGACCGGCTCAAGGTCGACTGAGCCTTCCATCCTTCCGAGGTGGGTAAAATGAGGACCCAGATTTGTTGGGGGCAACATGCTGACTCTGTAAACCGCTTAGAGAGGGCTATGAAGCAGTATATAAATCTAAGTGCAATTACTTGTTAGTTCTGGGGAGGCATGACAAATACGAAAAACAATAAGTACCAAACAGACCACCTGACTTTCCAGATACCCCTTTGTTTTGGCCGGGAAGGACTTCCTGTCTGTCCCTTTTCCTATGTTGGTGACTTCCTGTCTGCCCTCTGCGGCCGTCCCCCACTTCCTTTTGTAGTAACCTTCCCAACATGGCTGACTCCCTGTCTGTTTTCCATGTCTGTCCCTGCTTCCTACCACACCGCATTGGGTACGAAACAAACGATGAGTACTAGGACAACATTTTCACATCAAAATGCATCAAGTGCCAAATTCAACCGGTTTTCAAACCGTTGAGTACAGGGGTACCACTGTGCATGAGTCAAGGAAGGGCTGGCATCCTCCCAAGTAATATTTTGAGCAAAATCTTAAATTACTGAAGACTCTTAATAGCCTTTGGTGCCCATAAAGAGGTTTTCCTCATTTAACCATGGTAATTGGGACCAGTATTTCTGTCGTTAAATGAAGTGTCTTCGCTTAGCGACAGCAATCCCAGCAGTCCCTGCTGCCACCGCTAAGCAAAAATCAGCCAGAACCTCGAGGACTGGTCTTAAGTACCACTTGTTCAGCACTGTCACAACTTTGAACAACTGCTAAACAAGTGGAGCGGAGGCCGTAGTGCTTCCGCGCGAAGCTCCCCTCACGTGAGCAAAGGGCACTTGCGCGCAAAGCTCCATTTGCACAAATGCAGCTCCATGCGCAAGCACCCTCTGCTCACATGAGTGGAGCTTCGTGTGCGCATGCTTGCCCAGCTGTGGCCTGGTGGGCTGTGGCTGCATGGCTGGGGACCCCTGAAATAAGAGATAATTCTCTCCAAACCCGAGTGGGAAGTTGGTGAGATCCTTGTGTTCTTTCACTTAATATGGATCCCTCCTTCCAGGAATATCCAACACTGTTAATTTATTCTTCGTCTCTGTGACAGCTCTCCACCTACTCCACCTCCAGAAGCAGTTTTCTTCTGATGCGTTATCATGTCAAAGCAACAAACGTCTAACGATATACCATACTTTTTGCACTATAAGACGCTCCAGACTATAAGGTGCACCTAGATTTTGGGGAGGAAAACGGGGGGGGGGGGGGGATCTGCCTCTGCCTCCTTGCAGCAAACAGCCTGGTCAGCTTCAGCACAGCACGATTTAGCACGAGCAGCTGATTGACGATTGGATTGGCCTCCCGGAATACCGCCGCTCAGCTGTTCCAGGCTGCGGGGATCGCTGCCGCCTCCACGCACCCCATTTTTGCCCTGTTCCAGACCGCTGATCCCCGCTGGCTGGAATGAGCCAAAAATAGGACGCATGGATACGGTGGTGTGCGGTGGCGATCCCCACAGCCTGGAACAGCTGAGCGGCGGTATTCCAGCAGGCCACTTGTGCTAATCATGCTGTGTTGAAGCTGACCGGGCTGTTTGCTGCAAGGAGGCAAATTGCTGGGAGGCCGAGGTCGAAGGTCGGGGGCTGGCGGGTGGGCGGGGCTTCGGCAGCATTCGCTCTATATAGGAGCCTCTGTGACGCAGTGGTTAGAGTGCAGTACTGCAAACTACTTCTACTGCAGCCAGCTGCCTGCAATTTGGCAGTTCAAATCCCACCAGGCTCAAGGTTGACTCATCCTTCCAAGATCAGTAAAATGAGGGCCCAAATTGTTGGGGGCAAGACGCTGACTCTGTAAATCACTTAGAGAGGGGTGTAAAAGCGCTATAAAGTGGTATATAAGTCTTAAGTGCTATTGCTATAAGATGCACCGACATTTCCACCCACTTTTTTGGTGGGGAGGGGGAGTGCGTCTTATAGTGCGAAAAATATGGTAAAAGACCTAAACCTGGCCCTATTTTTGACTGGGGCATTTAATTAACATTTATGAAGTGAGTAAATCAACCCTTGGGTTTATCACGTCCTACATGATCAATGTTGGCTAAGTATCCCCTGGACGGATTTGGCTGAAGTCCGCTTCGTGCAGCTGAGTCTCCGCAAACAGCTGGTGCCAAGATGCTCTTGTGTGCATCTGTACCAGGATTTTCCCGACATTGGGAAATTACAAGGAGGTCATGTCTTAACAGAGGCTGAGAATGGAAAGCCTTTAAAAATTTCAATACTTTTCCCTGGCTTTTCTGAGTGAAATCATTCTGTGTTGTCACTTATAATTTGGAGAGTCTGTCCCTTAAAATGACAGCTAACTCTGCCCTGGGTTGAAGGCCTGTAAGGGGTCAGATTCTCTAGGGTTGAGATGCCTTAAGACAACGGCCCCCAACCTTTTGGGTCACGGACTGGACCGGGCGTGGTTTCGTGTGCTGCCTGCATCCCACGGATGGGGCTTTGCTTGTTTGTGCAGCCTGGTTTGTGGCATGCCACGGCCCAGTGCCAGTCCACAAACCGGGGGTGGGTGGGTTAGGGGACCCCCTGCCTTAAGAGGCTCCTGCATGTTCGCCCATTAGGTTGCCTAATTATACTAAGCTTGGCTTGGATTCCACACCTGGAAAGGAAATTAATCTCACTCCGATGGCAACTTCGGTGGTCTTGGGCACTGTGGAAACATTGCTGAGTGAGACTTTATCTGCTCCCCTTGTTCCTTGTCTCCTGTGGGGGGCCAAAACAAACAACTCTGCTGCCTCAATCAATGGGCAGGAATGTTTTTAAATCCCTGGAGAAATCTCTTCGCCAATGTCAGCCTTATTTCACTGCTGTCAGCAGTGAATTTCTTCTCTCAGGAAGTATTCTTGTCAGTGTTTTTCCCTCCACATGTTTGCATTTTTAAAAAATATTTTTCCTTTAAATACCTGAGATGTTTCAGTCTAAATCAGAAATTCAGCATCTCCTCCTGTGCCACCCCCTTCTCTTCTTTCCTTTTAAAACAATGTTTTCCTTGCTGTGGAGATTTAAATCATTGTTCTTTATATTTTTCTTGGTAAGCCGGAAAATATTCTTGACTTTCTTCATCCTTATAAACTTAAAGTCCTGCTTCATATATACGTTGTCTTTGCAGCAATTCTTTGACTGGAGTAAAGGGAAAGGGAAAATCTTAGAGCAGGCGTGGGGAACTATCGTCCTGTTACGATTTGTGGACTTCAATCCCCAGTATTCTTGAGCCAGCAGGAATGGCGGGCTCAGGAATTCTGGGAGTTGAAGTCCTCCAATCATAAAGAGGCCACAGTTCCCTACTTCTGTCTTGGATGCCCAGGCTGCAGCCCACTACTGGGTCACGACCCATTCAGAACCGGGCCACACAAGTGGTGGGAGAGCTCACACACACACACACCACTCACACAAAACCATCCCCTCTTCCCATCCCCCATGTTGGGCTGGACCACCAAGCTGCAAAGGTTGGGAACCGCTGTCTTAAGAGGATAGGAAGGTTTCTTGATTGGCTTAAAACAGTGTTTCTCAGCCTTAGGTACTTACAGCTGTCTGGACTTCACCTCCCAGAATTCCCCAACCAGCATGCTGGCTGGGGAATTCTGGGAGTTGAAGTCCAGACAGCTTAAAAGTGCCTATCTGGCATTCACTTTGAATTAAATTCTTTCTTGCTGCTGCATGTTAACCCTTTGTGGTAAATGGAAGAAGTCCAAACTAAATCCACCTCTTGCTCTTGCCCTGGTTGTCTTGTCATCCATGTATGATCGTAGTACCCCTGTGCTAGTTTATCTAGCGGTGAAGACACCTGGCTAGAAACTGGGGGACCAGGAGTTCTACTCCCACCTCAAGCACAAAAATCAGCTGGGTGACTTTGGGCCACTGTGAATTCTGGTCTCGCGTTAGGTAGGAAAGTCACCTGGGTGACTCTGGGCCAGTCCCTCTCTCTCAGGCCAAGCCACCTCACAGGGTTGTTGTGGGGAAAACAGAATGTATAAAAATAATGAAGGTGGGATGTAAATAAATGAATGTAGACGTGTTAAAAGCTAGGGATTATTATTTTTTTTTGACAAATAATAGATGGGATGATAGATAGATACAGTAGAATGAATTGGGGGTGAAGGAGGTTAATTGCCCAGCCTCTCTGAGGAAACTGGGCGGTTTATAAATAGGAAATATAAATGTATACATAAATAAATGTCACAAAGTGTGATTTGCTTATTCGCCAAAATCCTCTTGCTGACTTCAGTCTTTCTCCTCCTCTCTTCTTTTGCTCAAAGATGATGATGATGGAGGCTCTGCACCCCTGTAAGTATAAGGAATCGTTTTTCCCCCCCTTTCCTGGTAAATCACCTCCTGAGGCCACTTGTGGGTGGGAAATCAGACAACCAGCTGGATGTGCCCAACTGCAATTAACCTGAGCAGGCATAAAGGCCCTTCGGGAGGCTGCCTCCTGCCTGACAGAACCAGGGTTAAGCCAGAGGCTGCTTACTGAAGACTGGCAGGTTGTGAAAGAGGAGGAGCAGCAGGAAACAGAGGGGGGAGGAAAGAGCAACCCACAGGGCCCAAAGCGGGGGAGGGGGGGAGAAGGAGAAGGATTAATGGGCCCTTTAAAGTGAGGGGTGTGTGTGTGTGTCAAACTGGATTTCTTTGAGGGCCGGATCAGTGTTAACAGTTGTCCTCCACAGGCCGGCCAGGAGAGGAACGTGGGATGGACGGCTCCTGCAACACCCTGCCAGCCAAACCAGGGCACCGGGGGGCAGGGGAACAACACCCCCCCACACACCCCATTTTCAGCCTGGATGGCCTCCTGCAGCACTTTGCCGGGTTGTGGGGAGCCCAGACCCCCCCCCCAGTGCTCCATTCTGGTTGCCAGAGGCCCCCAAAAGGCACTTTGCTATTTCCAGGCCAGCCCCGTGAGCCAGATTTAAGCACCCCCATGGGCCAGATCCGGCGGGTGAGCCTGGCGTTCGACACCCCTGCTTTAAAGTCTAGAAACACAAGGGGCTCGGTTGGCTATGCCAGAGCAGATTTTTCTCAATCATGGCAACTTGAAGATGTGTGGACTTCCAACGCCCAGAATCCTAGGAATTGAACTCCACGCTTCTTCAAGCTGCCAAGGCTGAGAAACTGCTTAAAATGGTCTTGTCTTGAAATCTCAGCGTAGCTCACGGCTGGCTGGGAAATTCTGGGAGCTGAAGTCAACACATCTTCCAAGTTGTCGAGGTTGAGAGACACTCGCTTTTAACTTTGGGGAATATGGGCTGCCTGCTGTCTCTGACCAGATGGGTAGGTGAAAGGGAGAGCTTTCTAATTGTGTGTGTGTGTGTGAAGTCTCAGCATAGGTCCTAGACTCCGCCTACTTGCTAATCTAGTTTAGACTTTGACACAGATCGTCCTTAAGGTCTAGAACTGACCGACTTTCCCTCTTGCCTCCCAGAAAAGGCAACACTGCAAACAACATGGACAAGAATGTGCGTCAGAGGAATGCAAATTAAGCTCACGGCAAGGTAGGATTCCTGGGAGGGCTGAGCAACGGCAGGTGGGAGTCCCCCAATATGGCCACGTTGCACCCACCCTCCAGAGACGAAAAGAAAACCCCATTCTTGAAAATTCTGGGTTTGCTTTAGAAAAATAACAGCAACGGAAAAGGAAGTCCGCCTCTTCTCGGCCAGGAAATGTCGTCGTCCTGGCTGATTATGACGGAGGAATTAGTCAGTGGAATAGCTTTCCCCCAGAAGTTGTGGGTGCTCCCATTACCACTCAAGAAGTGATTGGGCAATCATTGGTCCTGAATGGTATAAGGTCTCCCTTGTAAGCAGGGAGTTGGTCTAGAGGACCTCTGAAGTCCCTTTCAACCCTGTTGTTCTGTGTTCTACCCTGTTTTCCCAAAAAATACCACCTACCCAGAGAGTAAGTCCTAGCTTGAATTTTTTTACATGTGCGCCCAATATAAGCCCTACCCCCGAAATAAGCCCTAATTAAGATCCCACCCACTCCAGAGTGGACAGGTAAAAGTTAAGCTAGGGTAAGGATCAAGGGTGGGTGCAGCCGCCTTACTACTTACCTTTGGACAGTTGTAGCCAGGCCTTCCACACCCCGATACCTGCCCATTTCTTCTGCAGCTGGCAAAGCTTTCCTGAAGGCCTCTGGAGCTGATAACAAAGCGCTGGATCGATCCAGAGCTCTCTTATTGGCTGCAGAGGCCTTCAGGAAAGCCTTCCTGGCCTCAGAAGAAGTAGCTCCTGAAGGCCTCTGACCGCGAAAAGGAGGCTGAGGGCGATCCGCACAAGTGAGGTCAGTCAGTGGATGGCATCCCCCCAAAATAAGACCTGGTGCCTTTTTTTGGTGGCAAAAAATATATATAAGACAGGGTCTTATTTTTGGGGAAACACAGTAATACCCTCTAAAAGTGCTTGGACTGCAACTCGCATTATTTACACAAGAGGGACAAAAGTTGCAATCCAACACATTTTCAGGATACCAAGTTGGGAAAGGATGGAGCATGTAACCCCAATTTGAACCTCCCTTTGCACCTGGTATCTACTCAGCCAGGTGAAGGTCATTCGGCATTATTGCCCTATCCCACTCACCTAACAGGAATACCGGGAAGATGTCATGTATTACCGATAGAAGAGAATAATTGTAGCTCAGGGTTAACTGTGGAGGCCTTGGTGCTTTCTGAGCTTGGTTTTTTCCTTCTAGATATTTCATTACCCAACTAGGTAACATCATCGGTGCTGAAAGAGAGTGGGGTTTGCTCTGTTTGTATATGAGGGCGATGAATCGATCCCATAATCGGTGGCCGCCCAGAACCTGTCCATATAAGAGAGTTGTCACAATTCAATATTTTTAAAACTCTTTCCCCCCCCCAAACTCATATCCTTTAGTGCACATGAGTCTCACATACTTCCCAGCTGGCATTCTTGTCATGCTATGTGTCAGCATTGCAACTAACCAACTCCAAGACAATAAACTCCAAGGCAATCAATTCCTCAAAGTTCCATTGTATTGGAGTTGTCATATTGGCACATCTGGGAAAAGCCACATCTGAGAGTTCAAAGGAGAAATTCAAAGATCCCTCCCCTGCACCCATCAGTCCATCACATGGCCCAATCAAAATTTTCGCCCCAACTGGAGACATCCCTCCAGTCACCCCCCTCCAGGGGCAGGGCAGCATGTCCTTGACTGTCTGAGAAAAGAATGTTGTTGTGTCCAATCTTCCTCCTCCTCTATGAAATCCCCCCTCCCAAATTCCCTCGGGTACTGAATGTGGCAGCCTCAAAGCTTCCAAGTAAAAAATGGCTTCCAAGGCTGACACTGTGTTTTGAAGTCATCCTTGGCTGGGATTGGGATATTTGGATTTGCTCTTACTCGTGTGTGTGTGTGTGTGTGTGTGTGTGTGTAAACACCCACGATACAATGCATTCGTTGAGCCTAATTATATATTCTGTCTCCTCTCTCTCTCTCTCTCTCTCAGGTGACACATGAAACCTAAGCAGACAACTTAGATGTTTCTTCTGACACTTTCCTGCTGTAAAACCAATAATATTTCTAGAACATCCTCCTTTCCTTTTTTTTTTTTTTTTTTAAAAAAAGGAAAACAAAAAAGCAGTGAGAGATCTTTTAGCCTTTACGTTTTAACCACACATAAAGTTTTTTTTCCTCTTTGTCCTCACTGCTGAATCTTGAGAGTTGGGGAAAGGAAAATGGAAGGCCTGGGGGAAATGACATTTCAAGAAAACGTTGCCAGTTAGTTTTAAGAACCATCATCCCTCACTCAAGAATGTGCTGTTCTCTTTTCTCTCTCTCTCTCTCTCTCTCTTTCTCTCTCTCCCCCCCCTTTTTTTTAGTAGCAGACCATAGGGGGAGTTATTAA